GTCATAGGGAGAAGACGATCCAGCCGGTTACAGTATTGTTATAGACTGCCGAAGGACGTTTGCCATTGAGTGAATTTGTAAGAGCAAAATTTAGGATTGCGAATCGAGCTGTCTTAGAGTTCTGGCATGACTTTGTCATTCTGGCAATGACGTTGCATCGCTTAGCGGTTGGATTATTGTGATTTACACAATTTTCTCAAGGCTCCCCTTCAAGGAACGAGACTGAGGTACGGACCCGGTAGATATAGTCTTTGAATTTTTTTGGGCAACTAGCCTCTGGGTCCATAGGACAGATCGGACAGGGATATGTAAGAGTCTTGTATGGTGGCGGCTTATGTCGAGGATGATAGACGTAACTTCCGGTATCCACCGGAATCGTCGTAGCGCTGGGTAGATCTCCGAATCGTAAGTAAAATTGAATGAGTCCCTTGGTCCAAGATAGATCGTATCACGCTGACAGGAAGAATGCACGCAGGTGCGAACGAGGTCGCGTGGGCAGATCCATGAATAAATCAACTGGTTCGCGCCACCTATGATGTACATATGTATTACTATGAATTGTACTATGTAAAACTATAAGATATACCTAATGTTATATAGATGCATCAATCGTTGAATATCCATACCAATCTCCTTTATCAAAGGTACGACTGATGCGTGCAATTTGACCCCTCCTCGCAGCATCCTGGATCTTCCGAGTAGCGAAATTTCCGTGAATTTCGTCTTAATGGTAATTTCATCCAGCTATGAGAATTCCTATCTAAATTCAATGATTTCCGGGGATTGGTGAAATCGTAAAGTGGCAACGATCGAAGGATCGAACAAGATCGGATGATCGGTATATAACAAGGGATCGTGTGTGGTCCAGAACGAACCACGTGTCGGCGAATAATGGGCCTGATCTTTTTACAGAGGAGGAACGCGCCATCCTTTTTACATTGAATTCCGTAATTCTTTTAGTTGCTCCATCTTTCCCACTCTCTCTCATTTTCGTCTCTTGTCCATTTTTCATCGTCACTCCCGCGAATAGAAGGAACGTTCCGAACAGTGAATCCGTGGAAGAGCAGAAATCGAAGGCAGTGAGAATGATGGAAGATGCCGCGAACTAGATGGGTTTAGGAAAAACAAATAAAATAAGATTGACAAGGATTGGAATCACGTTATGGCATTTGAAACTGACGTTACGCAACACTAACACGAACGCGCTACTAGAGATGCGTGAAACGTAAAGCTTTGTGCCAACAACAGCCCAGCCTGCCTCCTGCTTCCCTCCCATAAGACACGGACCTCGAGATCCTCCACCCCCAACCAGCACCCCGGCCCTCCCTGGCAATGGCAAGTTCCACGCTCTAGAAAAGTATTTTAGAGACCGTCAGGTATGAGCTGTTAGACAAAAGTATTCCATAAATCTTTTGGTCGTTTGGCACAGTTTCTGCATTGCAAAAATACCGAACTTCTCATCATATTCGTCTTCGACTCATTTCTCTAGCTCTTTCCTCTTCCTCGCCCTCTCTCTTTCCCTGTATCTTTGACTATTCCATGGGTACTACGAAAGCACAGGTCATTCGTTAACTCTCATTGTAATAACGAAGAAGCCGGCAACGTTTGTCATTGTCATTTAGGCATGATTATTGGCTCGTGCCAGTGTCATTTACCGTGAGACACCCTGGCTCGGTACCTTGCACTATCACTTGCACCACTGCCAACGTATGTCAATCAAACAATTTCCTACCGACTTCCCCACGCTTCGCTGCAGGCATACTAACTGATGGATGCTTTTAATAGTAGAGAATGCAAATGCACTATGCCGTAGTTGACTGTCAACGCTCATCCCTTTTTTACCTCGATTATACAATATCCATCCGTTAGCGCATTGGCAGCTGTGCACTGTAGATGCACGAATCATGCCAGAGCAAATTCAGTGGCGCCATCTCTCAGACACTATGTGAAACTTTTAGCCAACTCCACCGTTCACGTCGAATACAATGCGGGAGGCCAAAGAGACATGCGTTCCAATCTGTATACGAAAGAACCATTTTTAAACACGTCAACAGTATCAATGAGGATACAGACAACGTTATAGGACTAAAAGTGCAATGGCTATGGACGTTCATTTACTAACATATTTGTATCCATTTAATTGTGTAATGCATATTCCGGACAAACACGGCACCCGTCTATGGCCGTCTGTACATTGACTTTGGCTAACGATTTCCCGAAGTTACTAAGCCTTTTGAGAATAATCTATAGGGTGTACAAGGCTTAGAAATACTCCACAAACGTAAAGAGGGCCCGTAATGATATTAATGGATATTTTATAAAAAGCTAAGAGTCATGAAAGCTTACTGGATAGGGTTACTTGAAAGAGGAAGACATCATTCGTAGAGGTTGAATTTAGCTTATTCTTATAAATTCAAGATTTACCTCATCCAGAGGCCCCGTGAGGGACACAGATTAGAAGACCAGTTTTCTCCTTTTCTCCCGTCAAAACGCACAAACCACGAAAAGATTCACCACGTCTAGTCACTTGTCACTAATTAAAGTTCTCGCGATGGCAGCCATACTGCCGACGGCCTCGGAACTAACACAACAAACGGCAGATGGTGACACCGTCGGCTACACAGGGCCGTCAAAGATTGGCATCTCCTGTGTATTACATTCTGATATAATATCTAACGTGTATACAACACTTTTTAGATAATACAAAGTTTTTACTAGTTCTCAGTAATATTCGCATCTAATCATATCTCATTTTCTAAGAACGGCTACACTTGTATGGATACTAACTTATTTATATGAAATTTGTAATCTAACTGAATACCGTATGTTTTTTTTAATTTGCGAGACAACAAAAATCGTAAAATTTTTAATATTATCATTAAAGCTAAAATAAATGTAAGAAAGTTTATGCAAACTTTAAACCTTCTAAAATTCAACAGTGTAGCAACGCAGGGCAGGCCAGCATGATACCCTAGCCAGCAACTTGCATGAAAAATTAAAATGCAAAAATATAAGTGGATGCGTATTTCGCCCAAACACTGTTTGGATTCGATGCCTAATCTCTGTAGATCCATACCACTTGTCCGAACTCCTAATTCTGATTCAATTAGACTAGCCGCTGGCATATATCTCATTAGGAATAAAACCACCAAAATTAGGAGAAAAGGAAGGAAGGAACGCAAGGCCCTCCTCTCTTTATATAGCTTGGTCCCCGGATGAACAATCGACTAGCAATTTTAGGCCTCTTCCTGTACCACGTGTAATACTGGCTTTATCCTGAACGCCTACAACTTTTCGCGATAGCTTCTGGATTGCTGTTGACACAGACGTCTACTACGAGTAGAAAAGAAAGAGAAAAGGTCACTTACCAAATGATACTGCTCTTCGATGTGTTTCGCCTGATCATCATATTCGTAATTTTTCTTGTGTAAGTATAGTTCACAGCTGCACAGGTCTGTTCACGCGACGATTTTTCAATACGACCTTGACTATTACTTTCGCACTACGCATGTTTCGGATACAAACTATTTGTTTAGTTATTACGACTAGAATACTGGTAAAGGGTAAAGAGTTTAGGAACCGATGATGTAAAATCGACTGAAAGTCTGAGGCAAAACTCTCAATAAAAATCTAATGATGATACAGGTAACGAACAATTGTGTGCGACACGCTTTGTCACTACAGACAAGGACCGACACCTTTACAAGCAACATGGACCATGTGAAAAAGTTTGGACTGAGCTGTTACACGCGTCCACCATCGACTTGGAACACTGGAAGAGGAGCCAGTCCATTAAAAAAAAACCACGATCACCCCTATTCAAATCCACCGCAATGAAAAACCGTGAGAATAGCATCCAACAGAAGTCGGGAGACTCTTGAATTATCATGATTAACATTACAACCTCCATCAACCTGTGAAGCCGAAACTCTAACCAAGTTGGACGTAAGGAACTATGTTCGTCACTGACAGCGGATGCCATTAACCGTTGATCTCCAGTACAAATTCTTTCTAGCAGAAAGTGATTAGAATATACCAAGTGACTGCAAATGCACCTATACGACAAATGGAGTAGTATAAAGAAACTCAGACGGACGGGCCTGATCCCCTTGAGAACGCAGTACATAAGGCATGCCGTTACGGATCCCAGATTTCCCATCGCTCACACCGTCTTGGCGCATTTACTATGAATTAACAGTGATAGCTCAATACAAGAAATACGGAAAAGAGGTAACAAGGAGTAAATTTCGAAAGAAAAATAAGGCTACAAAAATGAAGAAGCGATAAATGAATCTCATCAGACAAGAGACACAAGGGGGGGG